TCAGGGCTGGGGGAACTGGGGCCGGGGGCTCTATCCCTCCACTGCTCCCTGCCTCCCCACACGAGACTGACAGGTACAGGGAGGACCAGGCTGGGGAGCAGAGGCATTGCTGCCTCAGCTCCATGACAGCTGTGGAGTGGAACTGGCCTCAGCTCATCCAGAGCAGACAGCACAGGCAAGGCTATCCTGCCTGCCCTGTGAGGGGAGTTAGCAGGGGAGCCCCAATGCATTCTAGGATGCTGGGAGACTGGGACATAACTTGAGTCAGGAGGGGATCTGGGACAGAAGTTCCATAGACTGGTTTAACTTAAATCAGTTATGTCTGATAATACATCCAGCCAGGTTTATCTTAAACTGGGTTTGGCCATTTTGAAACCAAATTATGTGCGCTGAACTTATGCACTGTTACAGGTTTAAAGTGGTTTCTGATCACTTATACTGTTTCTGTCCCTAGTGTTTATGTTCAGCTTTTGAATACTGTTAGAGACAGTTGATGTTTTGTACTGAAGGATACAATTTGCACAGTAAAAAGAAAAGTTTATTGTTCCTTAAAATGTAAAATGCAACAGGAAAAATTATTAGAATAAACATTAGGACAAGTGAACATTCAAGGTCCATCACTAGTAGGGATGCATGTTTGCCCACTTAAAAATAGTTTTGTGGGTCCCATCCTGATTCTTGCCTAATCTGTTGTTAAGAGAGCTGACCTTTTCAGTTTCACAGCATCTGCACTTCACTGAGAAGTGTCAGCATAAAGCCAAGGTCCACCAAAGCTAAATCCCAGTAGCTGGTCTTATCTTTCATGTGGGGAGGTCAAACTAAATGAAAGTGCCTTTGAAAATGCCTTAAATTTTCAAGTTGAATTCTAACACTGGCCCCAAGAGAAGCCCAAGAGCATCTATTGATTCTACATTTTTCAAAGGTACTTTGTCAAAACCTGAATCAAAAGTCCAGGGACCTGAATAAAGTTTAAGTGACTTGCACAGTTACAAATACCACTTCCCTTTTGACAGCTGCCACCGTCTCCTATTTGACTATATGCGCACACATGTTTATAGTGTGGGTTCACAGCGTTTTTTATGGTTTTGGGGATAGGGCAGCTTTTGTGTGTTAGTTCAGCATGGAGCACCCAGGTGGCTGTTTTCCCCTCATTTACCAACTTGGTAGGGTGCTGTCTTTGAAAGGTCATTGTCATCACCCTCCTGTCCTGGAGGGAAGGCAGCCAGCTTCAAGCAGACCTTAAGCAGTTAAAGGGAACAGACTTATACCAATGCAGTTACCATCCTATTGTTAATAAAAATTCCCCAAGATTGTCTCAAGAGTCGTGCAAGGACCTCTGCAGGGACTTCTCAAGCAGAAGCATTAGAAACAAGTTGTTATAGCTACTAATAATTGGGGAAAGGAGTCAATGTGTCCTTACAGTAGGAAGATTCTGTAGTCAGTTTTGGAACAGATGAGAGGCTTTTAATATGTGCAGCCCACTTACACAGTCATCAGAGTTTGAATACGGCTGAGGGGGTTAACTGTCTTCCTGTCCTCACTGAAGAGTTAGTGAGTAGGTGGTTGGTGAGACATAGGAGCTTTCTTTAGATTTTAGCAGTGTGTGAACCACTCAGCCTCAGAAACACTTATACACATCTGAAAATTCATCATGGTCCTTGTTGTCTTCCATGTCAAGAAGAGTTAAGAAAAGGAGGGAAAAGAATAACCAGGTTGAGTTAGAAACTGGAGTGAGAGGAGGAGGAGATAAGAGTGTGCTGTAAGAGAAATTAGGTGGGGAAAAAAGAGATTTCTAAATATATAAGGGATGAGAAGGGTAAAAATAGAGAGAGGCAGACTTATTTGTTTTCTAGCAAAACAAACTCCCTCCCTCGCTCACCCTCTCAGAGTAAGGTAATAGTCCTTCCTTTGGATATTATACATTAGGTGCACTTTCTTGTTGAAAATTCAAAAGTTATGTTAGATGGCTCAGACTGGAGGTCTGAAAATAAGCTGTTCTTCTGATGCAGTGATCTAATGCTTATGGCTTCATAAACTGAGCAAACCAGGTGTGTTACTCCAGCTGAGTCAGCCAAAGACCGTAAAACATTTGCTTTGGCAGTGTTCTGTTGAGAGCGGATAGAAGACCCTGTTCCTTTCAGATTTGCTGACTCTGGAAGGGTTATCTCTGCACTGGAAAAATCAGATCTGGCAATGTCTGTGAAGGGTGGCTTTACTTCTTCCCTCATTCAGCTCAAGAATGGTGCCTTGCCAGTGTGGGCTGCAGAGTAAAGCATGGTTGATATCTGATAGAATAAGGGATTGGGCACAGTTGGGTATTAACTGTGCTTTACTAGAACTAATGTAGAAATATGTTCATCCAGACCACAATAAAAAAAAAAAGGAAACCATATTCATTATAAGTGAGGGTGGGGCTGCATTTGACATTTTTGTAAATTAAGTTTCATTGACTTTGTGTTGAAATAGTCTATTAAGTCTGGCAAACTCCTTTTACCACACTGTTTTTCTGCCAACAAAAATAGTTTCACTTAAGTGTGTTTGATACACTTCATAACTGCTGTAGAAGAATGGGATGACATGTCTCTGTATGACTTCCATCAAGGAGAAGAGATTGTTTTTGCAATAAAATGTTGCTTAATCCAGTCGGATTAGGGACCTCTACATTTGCTTTGATTGTGCCCAGAGAGAGAAAGAGAGGTGTTTTTAAGCCTTCCCCCCCCCCTCCCCCCCCATTACATTTAAAGCATGATTAGCCAGGTAGTCAGGTCTTAAATTGTGACCCAGCCACACGCTCAACAAATGAATGGCATGATAAAATAAGCAATATGTTACAAAGTTATTCCCCAGAAAATCTGTAATAACTTTGTAGTTTGTTCTAATCATGCCATTTAATTGAATATGTGGCCAAGTGCTCCCTTGCGGTTGAGAGCCCCATCAACTGAAGGGCTCCCAGCCACAGGGGTGCACCACCTGCTGCCAGCCCCACAGCTGACAAGGCTTGCAATGGTGGCAGTGTTGTCAGCTGTGGGACCTGCCAGGGGGAACGCTGCCTCCCCTGCAAGCCGCCTCAGCTGCAGGCTTAACAGTGGGGGCAAGTGTCTTCAGCTGCAGGGCTGGCAGCAGAGGCCATGGGAAGAACACCGGCGCCACTGCGAGACTCACAGCCATGGCAGCATTCCCCTCAGGCCACTCACAAAAACTTTTCTTCTCAGAGCCTTATCCTTAGAATATATATACATGCGTTGCAGGAGGCGTGACTGTAGGATTGCGCATTATCGCTAGTGCAGGGGGAGCCTGGGATCACAATCCTGATGGCTTGGCTCCCATGGTGAGAATACTGCCACACTGTGAGTGTCATGAGGTGCAGGGCTCACAGCAAGAGCAGGGTGAGGGAATGCTGCTGCTACTACTGCAAGACCCACACCTCCGGAGGCTCTCAGTGGGGGCAAAGTTCTCCCCACTGTGAGTCCAGCAGCCCCCAGTGAAAGTCCTGCAGCTGACAATGCTCGCTGCAGGGGCAGCAATCCTGGTGCTACCCCTGCTGCGAGCACTGCAGCACATGTGGACTGCGAGACTCACAGTGGGGCAGTGAGGAAAACCCTGCCAAGCTTGCCACATCAGCTGCAGGGCTTGTTGGCACAGGGGCCAGTGCAGGGGGAGCCTGAGATAGTGATCCCAGGCTCCCCCTGCACCAGTGATAAGGCATGATGAAATCTAAGGCATGATCCCACAATTGCACCTCCTGCCATACATGTGGAAGGGGGCCCTAAATGGACCAGTTTGACATTGTGGGGCTTAAAGAACTAAGGAGATGTAAGATTAGATAAGCAAGCATTTAACACAGTGGTCTCCAACCTTTTAAGTAGGAGATCACCTTTGGCATTTAAAAGCAATGCAAGATCTACCGTGCTGTGCCGCTACCCTCTCCCCCCCCCCACCCAGTAGGTAAGTCTGTGGGGAGGGAAGGGGGGGGGGGCAGATCGAGGCAAAGGGAGAAAAAATTATATGGGGGCATGCCTCCCCAACAGGTAAGTCCCACCCGGCCAAGGCCCCACTCAACATACCCCTGCTCCTATCTCTGCAGCACTGTCCTTCACCGCGGGGGCCTCGATCTAGCCCCTGCCCCTTCTGTCCCCCATGTACTGACCTGCTGGACTGGGGCACATGCATGCATGCCTGCAGGCACTTAGCCCCCCACCCCAGCCTTGGATCTACTCCAAGAGGCTCTGAGATCTACCACAAGAGGCTCCAAGATCTACTGGTGGATCGAGCTCCATTGGTTGGTGACCACTGATTTAGCAGTTTGTAGAAAACAGTGGGTAGGTGCAGCTCTCCCCATGCTCTCAGTAAAGTAGTAATTATCTTGTAATGACTTCTGTTATGCAGTAGAAACTTTGAAATGTCAGGTTACTTGTCTTGGTACTAGAACTCCTCCTAGTGCCATATAACTTTTGTTTTACCATAATTGATTTCTGATAGGTTTTTCATTACTAAAGAGACATTTTTGATTTAGAGGGAGATTGACAACGCTGTGAGATTCAGCTGGATCCCAACCCTTAATCAAGAGTAATGTTTGGACTCGGTAGTCTTTAGATTTTGGTCCCAAATGATGTGAATTTTATGACACTGTTTGTTCTTGTAAAATTTTAGCTGTATATAACCTGGCAAGTGCTATCTGAATGTAAGTGCAGTAGAAATTCATAAGTTGGTAAATTCTTCCCTTCTGGTTTTGAAGGTGGCCAAAAAATATTAAAAGCCTTGGGGCAGCTCTGTGAAGAGGAGTTGAGACTAATTCAAGAATAATCCTTAGTGATAGTCTTATGCAGTAATGAGACTTTAGTGAAGTTCGCCCGTAACATGGATGACATTAAATTACCGTTTGAATCTGTTACATAGACTATGATAGTCACCGCTTTGTTTAGGTTCAGCGACGGCCTTAAAGATTTAGTCATTGCTTGCATAAGAATGGCAGTTTCACTTCCTATGACTTGTCATTTTAGGGCTTCTTCAGTAAACGTCTGAAAGGCTCCATCAAGAGGACAAAGAGCCAGTCAAAGCTGGACAGGAATACAAGCTTCCGTCTACCATCTCTCCGTAACGCTGATGACAGGTACAATTCTATATACCTTCCTAAAAACAGACCTTGATTGCAACTCTATGCTTGCAATAGAGCTTGAAAAAGTGTGCTAGTCATTTATAAGCACATGCGCAAACTGAGTGGAATGAGGGGCTCTGAGAGTCTCTCTTTGTTTTTAAGGTACATGTTTCTGTCCTTTTAATTCTTAAATTGTTACATAGTGTTTGTCATTCATAAGTGTATTGATCTTGTAGGACATTGTTTCACTACCAACCTTAGAGGAGTTGACAAAAGAGTTGACATAAGCATCTTAAGTAAAATATCTTCTTGTTCTTTAGCACCTACCTCTCTTTCTGGATCACCAAACAAGTTCAAAGCATTAAGTTCCATAAACCCTTAGAGAAAATTGTTCTGATGTATGCAAACCCTAGCCTCCATGCACTGGTGCAGTGTAGCTACATAAATGGTTGCACCCCTTTATTGATATTTTCATACCACTGCAACTCCTTGATACTTCTACGTGCACAGTGTATGAAGGAAAAGTTGTACCGATGTGCTGAAATCAGCGTAATTACTGGTGTAAAACCTCAACACACACAACAGTGCAGCTCATTTATAGTAGGTGTTTGTGCTAGTGTCACTGAGTGATGTAGTGGTGTGAAGTTCTCTAATGGAGATACAGGGTCTGTTTTTCAGAAAACTGGAGGACATAGGGTCACCACTCCCCAAATTAGGTAGTTAGTGTGGTTATATGTATACCATAACTTCCCTCAGGAATATGTTTGATTTTTGCTGGTAGCTTGTTTACCAGCTTCAGATCTGTTTTTACTAACACTTTGATCAAGTGTCTCTATCATCTTAATTAGAACCCAAAAGCATGTTATTCTATAAGGGTGCGTCCACACGAGCATGCACGTGCCTCTTGCCCTGCCTCAAACCCCTTTGAGGTGGGCAACAGCATGCACGTGCCTCTTGCCCTGCCTCAAACCCCTTGGAGGGGGGCAACAGGCATGTGCGGGAACAAAAAAATGTTCCCTGCGCTGCAAACTTGCAGCGCGCGGAGAAAATTAGACCCCTGGATATCCAGGTGTCTAAAAAAAAGCAAAGTATAAAAAAGCGGGGCAGGGCACAGTCCCTGACCATGCCCTGAGGCAACCGGTTGCTGGGTCCTCCAAAGAGACACTTTGGCTGCCACAGTGTCTCTGTGGATGCCCCTTGCCCTAGTGCTGAAACGCGGCTGGTGAGCCCGTGTGTTTCAGCACCAGGGCCCTGGTGCCAGTAAGTAAGGGGTCGGGGGAGCTGGACGAGGGGTGAAGGGACTGTGGGGGGGACCCCTGCTGGGGCCGGCCCCTCCCCTGCCAGC